ACAAGCTGGCAGATGTAAAGATGCAAAGGCACAGCTCAGAGGAAGCCTTCCTGGAGTCAGTTTCCTTTCCTTCCGAGAAGAGGAAAATGTCCTAACTAGAGATGAACAGTGTCCTGACTCCACACTCTGCAAGTACAAAAACAAGTCACACAAAATGCTGGACACCGTGCAGAGGCCTTTGAAATCATCTGGTAGTCTGTATTCTCTGGGAGATAAAGAAATGGGTGAAAATTCCTATTTGCTGAGCCTCCTTGAAAGATTTACCTTTTAGGGCTGGAGCGATAGCACAGCGGGTAGGGCGTCTGCCTTACAAGCGGCCAACATGGCCGACCCGAGTTCGATTCCTCTGCCCCTCTCGGAGAGCCCGGCAAGCTACCGAGAGTATTTGATATGCCAGACACAGTAACAACAAAGTCTCCAATGGAGACGTTACTGGGCCCGCTCGAGCAAATCGATGATCAACGGGAGGGCCTTTACTTTACTTTTACTTTAGATTTACCTGTGGAGGTACTTTGCATCTCAGGCAGCCTGCAGGAGAGGGAATGGGAGTTGTAGACAGGTAGGCGTAGGCATAGTTTGTTTGGTAAATTTATTCAAACCAAGTAAACATTCTGCTCCCACGCCACCCAGTAGGGCCAGGAGTGAAGAGAAACAAAGATTGCTTCAAGCTCCCTCAGGCCCTCAGGTGGTTCCCAGCTGGTGGGAAGGGAGTGGCCGCTGCTTTTTCCAAGCTCTTTGGGCCAGTTTGTTACGCCTATAAGAAAAAGAGGAGGCTTTGTGGGTGATGGGAGAGAAAAAGGCCTTGTTTCTTTCCAACCCTTTCCTGCTGCATGTGAGATGTAATGCTTTCTGCCTGATAAGATACTGAAATTTTTGTTTCCATTCAATGATCCCACCCATTTCGAATTTTAAGAGGAAATTCAAGATACCACTCCTCTTTTTAAAAATATTTTCTCTCAGGTAGATATGATCAATAAATCAACTAAGTCAATACTCACTTGTAAAGTAACTGGGTGCGTGTGTACGTGTGTGTATTTTCAAGCTGACATTTGAATTTAATGTATGGCATACCAGCGGCATGGTAAATACTTGAATATTTTTGCTGTTTTCTTTTTCGAGCTAAAAAACTCATTTTTAGTTTATTATTTAAAAGTCTAGTTTAGAGGCTGGAGCGACAGCACAGCGGGCAGGGCGTTTACCTTGCACGCAGCCGACCCGGGTTCGATTCCCAGCATCCCATATGGTCCCCTGAGCACCGCCAGGAGTAATTTCTGAGTGAAGAGCCAGGAGTAACCCCTGTGCATTGCCGGGTGTGACCCAAAAAGCAAAAAAAGAAAAAAAAATTAAAAGTCTAGTTTATCAGTGTAATGTTTACTTATCTTCGTTATTCATCTGTGCCATGGGCATAAGCAGGTCTGTGAAAGTCCAACTTTTGGATTGCTAACTGGGTCACTGGCAATTTATTTTAAATGAAAACCTCACATATATTACTTCAGACCCTGAAGCTACAGATGGTCTATTTTTTGTCATCAAACTTAAAGGTTTATTTTCCCTAGTAACTCGAACGATTTTTTTCTTAGAAATTACGAGACTTCAGAAATTTTCAGACAACTGACGTCTCTTTAATGTTCAAAAACTGTCTTATGTCTCCCTCATCTTCCAAAAGAATGGTTATATGTGTAATGACCATCATTCTGAGCCAATTCCTTGTCAGCCTTCAAAGTGATTCAATTCTAACTTTTGTTTACTTGGGTGTCTCAAAACTGGATCTGCAATTAACTCTCCCCAGAGATGTTTCTTGACTTTCCTAGAGGTTGATTACCTTTTTTTCTGATGCATCCTTATAGCTGTGCTTTAAATTGGTCCCCCACCAAGTAAAGGGTGCTTGGAGGGCCAGCTCCACATCGGAGATGCGTGCTGAAAGTAGGCTATAGACCGAACATGATGGCCACTTAATACCTGCATTGCAAACCACAACACCCTAAAGGAGAGAGTAAAAGGGAATGTGCCTGCCACAGAGGCGGGGTGGGGGGGGGTGAGAAGATGGAGAGGGGAGGGATACTGGGAACATTGGTGGTGGAGAATGGGCACTGGTGGAGAGATGGGTACTCAATTATTGTATGACTGAAATGTAAGCATAGAAGTCTGGAAGTCTGTAACTGTACCTCACAGTGATTCATTTAAAAATAAATAAATAAATAAAATAAATTACCCCAATGACTTAATCTACAATGTGAAATTGAAGACTTTTGAGACATAATCACTATATCTATAACCCCCAGAAATCCAGGCATTATGCACAGTATTTTTTAATACCTAATTTTACTGTGGCTCTGAAAAGTCTACATGCTCTCCATACTATGAGTTTTAATAGAATAATTATCTAGCATTTTCATCATATCACCTGAGCACCACCAGGTCTGGCCCCAAACAAAATAATAACAACAATAAGAATTCTCAGATAGTTTCACATCTGAGGACTGTTAGGTCAAGTCTCATCAATATTTTAGCTAACAACTCCTACTAATTCTTTCCAAACTGTCTTCTGCTTCAAAGTGAAACTTTTCTAGAGATAATCTTATAATACAAACATCTTCAAACTATCCTAGCACTGTTTCCTTGTGTTCATCAAGATCCCACAGGTTAATTCCTAAAATGTGGTAAATGACTAATGCAGCAAACCATAAAATGTATTTTAAGTAGCTGTCACTTTTAACTGAACTTCTTAAACTTTATATATAGACACAACAAATTTTCACTTCTTGATCATCCCCTTAAAAAAGACAGATTTTAAAATCTTTTTTTGCATGCTTTTTATTTATTTATTTATTACTTATTGCATCACTGTGAGAACAGTTACAAAGCTTTCAGGTCATACAATGATCAACACCCATCCCTTCACCAGTGCATATTTTCCACCACCAAGAACCCCAATATACCTGCCATCCCACCCCTCTCTCTGCCTGTGAGGCAGATGATTTCCACTTAACTCTCTACTTTGATTATTTCGACAAAACAGGCACCATTATTATTTGGAATTTCTCCCCAACAATCAGACCTGCTGAAAAGGCATCGTGAAATAATTTGTTTTCTATTGATGGTTATGAAGAGCATATGATGTCACACAACTACAATAGCGGCCGCGCAATTTTGGATTTCTGATCTTTTACTAATTAAGTCTGGAGGGATTTCTGCCAAAAGTTGCATAGTTCTGAGATTGGTTTGGGTGCCTCTGAGTCCATGGCCCTTTCCCTCCCAGCGGGGGGGGGGGGGGGGGGGGCATGTTACTGTAGCTTAATGCATAGTCCATTCACATTTCTGCCAAAAGCTGCTGGGTTCCAAATTAGGTCCGTGTGCCCCTGGGGCCATGGCCATGCTGGAGAGCCGCTGGAGGTGGGGAAACTCATGCTTTCAGCGGGGTGGGAAGGACGTGCCAGTTCCACCCCCATCCCAATAACAGAACATTGATTAATCATTTTAAGCTACTCTTTTTTAACTAACATGTTAAAATGACCAGTGATACCAAAGTTAATAAGTTACCATTTAACATTTTAAAATAATGCAGCAATAGGGGTCGAGAGTGGTAGCTCAAAGAGCTAGAGTGCATACTTTGCATGGGGGAGGCCTGGTTCAATTTCTGGCAGTGTCTGGGCCCCTGAGCATGGTCTTAGCACTGAGTCAGGCATGTCACGTGAGCACCACCACGTGTGGCCCCCAAACAAAATAATAATAGCAATAATAATTCCCAGATAATCTCACATCTAGCAACCTAATTATAGTTAATATGCTTTTTTTGACAGCTAGCTACAAAATTTTATTCGTATCTCAAAACTACTACGTATAAAAAAAAAGTATGAGAATAATACCCAAAGATAATAGAAATGAGGGCCAGAAGGACTGGTCCATGGCAGGAAAACTGCCACAGTGGGGAGTGTAGTTAGGACAGAGAAGGGCCCACTATAAGAATAAAAGTTGGAAATGATCACTCTAGACAAGAACTCAGTGCTAAGGAGGTAAAGTGATATGCAGGACATTGTTTCAGTAACTGTATTGCATGTCATGGTGCCTAGAAGAAAATAAAATGGGGCAGGGGGGAAGGGAAAGGATGAGAGAGAGGGAGGGAGGGAGGGAGAGAAAGAGAGAGACAGAGACAGAGAGACAGAGAGACAGACAGAGAGAGAGAGACAGACAGAGACAGGCAGACAGAAGATAAGGTGTCTAGGGAAAGAAACTGGGAACAATGATGGCAGGAAATGCGTACCAGTGAAGGGATGGTGTTTGAGCACTGTACAACTGAAACTCAATTGTGAATAACTTTGTAATTGTCTATCTCAGGTGATTCAATTTAAATAATTGCTACGTATCAATCTGAGACCCAGAACACACAGAATGTTTTTTTTTTATTTTCCTTTCAATTCATACCCCAATATAGAGTTTGCTAGACAGAGGGCACAGTTGGTAGCATAGGTCCACAAGACTGTGATGTATATTGGCACTTTGGTGTTGGCTATGGTGTTACATCTTCGTTTTGAAGAGTTGCGAAATATATACAACTAATTGCTAGCTCAAGGAAAAATAAAATATAAATTTTCCTTTCAAATACTTCAACCCTTAGACTAAGAGATACTCAATAGGTCAAGAGATACTCAAAAAGCTGGATGCATGCTTTGCATGGAAGAGACCCAGGTTAATCCGTGGCACCCTGTGGTACGCTGACCACTGCCAGCGTGGTGACCCAGGAGCACAGAGCACTGCTGTGTGTGGCTCAAAATAAAAAAATATCCCTGCCTTCTCTTAAATTCAGAATATATCCCCAGTTAGTTATTTGCATTAAAAAAGCATAGCAAAAATCATTAAGATGGTTTTTCATTACTATAGGATTTTTAACCTTTCTGGGTTTTCCTAAAATTTATTTCACAGTTTAGAAATAAATAATTTAATTTTAACCTTATTATATTCTATAAAAATGAAACACAAACAACATAGAGTATGAAAGAACATATGAAAAACTGTTAGTTTTATTGGTTTTATAGTAGTTTTAAGAGAAGCTAAATAAAACACAATTATTAGATATCCAGCTAGTTATTCTGCAAAGCAATATGCCAAGATCAACACTGAAACATTTATAAAAATGAAAATATATAAAATGTTCCTCACTTTACTATAAAGACTCCATATACAAATGCAAAATTTGAAGTTGTCACTAATTACATTAAATGCTGAATTTCTGAGTGACTCTGAGCAGTGAAAAAGTACTTCTGATTTTAAAATTAAAAGCATGCAACTTCCCACTATTTTTGTACTGTATTTGTCTACTATCTTTGTATTCCAAACAGAGTTCCAAGGCAAAGATTGTTTCTGGCTTTATGAATTACCAAAGGTGATGACCTGTGTGGCTGACTTATTACAGGCCTTTTAGTCTTCTTTCCTGATAGATCCTTCTTTCCTGATAGATCCTTAGCTTCTTTGGGAGGAGGCATATGAATAGGTTTCCAGGGAATTGGATTATAAAAGGCAGGCTCTGGATAAGAATTTCCACTGTGAAAACCTAAAATTATTAAAAAATTAAAACAAGAAAAACAGTACTTGAGAGCAAAGAAATAACCAATTTTAAAACTGCTATAGCAATGTTAAAATATCTAAAAGGCAGAAATATTAGTAATAAAACAATGTGACACGTTCAAAAACTTTAACTCAAATTTGTCTTGATTACTTGTAAACAAATAAAATAAAGACATTCTCATAACAATCTGAAATTGATTGCATACTAATTTCCCCTCATCAGACACTAAGACTTATTAAAAAGAAATTGCTGTTTACATGGTCAAGACTGTTATTCAGAACCACTGAAATTCTAAATTACTGACACTCAAATTAATAAAATTTCATGTCAGTGAGGGTTTGATTACTAATTATAGAGTGCTATCTCAGTGGGATGTAAATTAAGTATTTAAATAGCTGTAATATCTGACACTTAACTTTGAAGAAGGAACATTTAACAAGTCATACCCCAATTTTTCTGTCACTATAGGTAATTCCTTTACTTCATAATTTGTAAAGATGATCTGGACAAAATTAATAAAATTAACAAATTTTAAAAAATAAAACTAACAAATTAACTGCACTATAGCACTGTCCTCCCATTGTTCATCGATTTGCTCGGGCACCCGTAATATCTCCATTGTGAGACTTGTTACTATTTTTGGCATATCAAATAGCCATGGGGAATTTAACGAATTAAAAAAGTTTAAAACTAAAGAAAAATAAAACACACCCTAGAGCCAGAGAGATAGATCAACAGGCTGAGCTCATGTTTTGCTGGTAGGAGACCCAAGTTTAATCCCTCAAAGCACATATTACCCAGAGCACTACTGAGAGTGACCTCTGAGCAAAGAGCCGAGAGTAGCTGAGCACCAGGAATGTGGAATAAAAACTATATTAATAAATAGCAATGTAAAACACCCTCTTAAGTGGGAGAAAATATTTGCATAGTATACATCTGATAAAAAGGCTACTGTTCAAAGTTAAAAACATGAATCACTCCATCAGAAAAATGGGAAAATTTCCTTGAAGAAGATATGCAGATGGTTTATTATCTGGCAAGGCAAAAAGGACAAACCAATGTTATCCTACATCTGAACATATCATTAAATGTTCATCTTCACTTACCATTAAGAAGATGCAAATTAAAATAAGACCACCTCCCCACCAGTGAGAATGACAGATATTAAGATTAGTGTTGGTGGGGCTGGAGTGATAGCACAGCGGGTAGGGCGTTTGCCTTGCATGTGGCAGAGCTGGGTTCGATTCCCAGCATCCCATATGGTCCCCCAAGCACCGCCAGGAGTAATTCCTGAGTACAGAATCAGGAGTAACCACTGTGCATCGCCGGGTGTGACCCAAAATGCAAAAAAACAAAACAAAACAAAACAAAAAGAATAGTGTTGGTGGGGATGCAATGGGGAAAAAAAAAAAAAAAACTTGTTCACTGTTAGCTGGAATGTTGTTTGGATCAGAATATGGAAAATCTTATTGAGGCTTCAAAATATTTAATAGAACTACAAATTACTCAGTGACTTTACTCAGAGACTTTACTCCTGGACTCTATCCCAAGAACACAAAATATTTACTTGAAAAGATACATGAACGCCAATGTTCATTGCAGTACTGTGTACAATATCCACAATACGGAAACAATGCAAATGCCTAACAACAAACATAATGCAAAACTGTTGAGCTACGTGAAAAGGCAGAGTCAGGCCTTTTGCTACAGTGCAGAGCTAGAGGGTCTCACATGTTAACAAAACAGTCACATGGAGGACAAATAATAGAAAAATCTCATTCACGTGATATAAAATGAAACAAAACAAGGGATTTGACAGTATCTACTGACCCTTGAACTTAATATACAGCTGATGTAACCAAGCTGGGGGGAGGAGAAGGGAAGTGAAGAAAGAGGTGGAGTAGAAGTGGCATAAAGATAATGGGGTGGGGGTGGGAGGCTGGAGAGATAGAATGGCGGGTAAGGGGATGTGGTGCATGCCTTGCTCCTGACTGACCCGGGTTTAATCCACAGCATCCTATTGGGGTTCCCTGAGCACCATCAGGAGTAATTCCTGAGCACAGGAACCAGGGGTAACTCTTTAGCATCACAGAGTGTGGCCCAAAAACAAATAAAGAAGACAGTGGTGATGGTTTTTTAGCACTTTGGTGTGGTGGAACAGTAAATTTGTTGCCACTGTACTCAAGTTATCTCAACTGGAAGTTGATAAAGGTAAGAGCAGTAGAACATTTACAAATATATCTTTTAGATGGATTGAAGTGATAGCACAGGTTCGGTTCCTCTGCCCCTCTCCGAGAGCTCAGCAAGCTACCAAGAGTATTTTGCCCGCACGGCAAAGCCTGGCAAGCTCCCCATGACGTATTTAATATGCCAAACACAATAACAAGTGTCACAATGGAGATGTTACTGGTCCCGCTCGAGCAAATCAATGAACAAAGAATGGACAGTGTCAGTGATCTTTTAGACAGATGAAAACTCATTTCATTTTTTTACGGGCAGGGGTAGGCGGTATCTCTAAGCAATGCTCAGGAGGCCCAAGGATCACTCCCAGTTATACTAGGTAGGTCAACCAAACAAGCTGCACAAGGTATGGGGGGGCCTTCAGGGCCACATCTGGTGTGCTTGAGGAGGTCATGTAGTAGCAGAGATTGAGCTTAAGTCCTATCACATGTGAGGCATATGGCGCCAGCCCTTTGAGCTATCTCCAGAGCACCATAATTCATTTTGCAAAACTGCAAACATTCTCCCATAGTTTGCTATATAATTTTCGTAACATGCAATATTTTGTTCTGTTATAGAGTAACACCTTACATATTAACACTACCAATTAGCTTCTAGTCAATGTAGATATCATCAACTACATTTTTCACTTGATTATCCAATTGTCTAGTTAAAACCCACTGCTTCTGACCCCTTTTTCAAACAAGAAAGTAAAACCAAGAAGCAGCTCACGATCAGTAGCTATAGTGGATGACCTCTGTGACACGTACAAGAGGCAAAATCCTGACAGCAGGAATGTGTCATTCAGACACTGGCAACCCACTTTGACTACACAGATATGTCAACACACACTTCACCAAGATGGTCAAAACAAAGTCTGGAATATGTTCTATTGTGTGAACAAAACAGAATGGGAGTATTTTTAATAATAAATCACTTAAACAAGTGAAGGCAGCTGTCAGCAAGGTATGAGCTTCCAACATGAGGCACAAAGGAAAACATGCATCGCCATTTATAATCAGACCAAGCCTGAAGGCCAACCGGTTTTGTGTCTGATTCATGTGCGGTCTAGTATACTACCTCGCCAAAAGAATGTGCCAAAGAGACTGTAGCCCGGCCTCAGAGACAGAAGAGGACAAAAAAAAAAAAAGAAAGAAAAAAGACCCCCCTCAAGTATATTCCAATTAAACTTTTATTTTCTAAGGAAAGAAAATTTTTCTACATCCCTTACTATTAGAAATTGCTACTTTGCAGTTTTGGAACTACTACTCTAAAAAAATAAATAAATAAATCTGCTTTATGGAGAATAATTACAAAACTGAACTATTTCCACAGGAAGAGAGTATGTAATATGAAAGACAAAAATGATTTTTGCACATTTCTCTTCTGTCAAAAGGAAGCACCATATATAACACCAACTCCTGAAAACCATATTTGTGTAAGAGTGTAATCCATGTAACATGAAAACCAACCTGTGACTTTTCCATTGGCATAACCATAGCTCTTTACAACTGGACAAGGTTTACGTTTAGCATTTTCCAACCATTCCTTAAACTTTTGTTCTGCTATTTCCTTTTTTTCTTGTAATTCGGCTTGCCGTTGTTTTTCTTTTTCCTTAAAATGAGAAGACCAACAACTGAAAATTTTATTGAAATTCCAATTCCCCATTGTCTCCTACCCACCCTAATGGCTTACTCATCATAAACTCTGAATTATATTTCTATGATTTGAGAGCAAAATTTAACATGATCAGGGATGGGAAAGGAAGAATTATCTATTTAAAATCAAAAGGAGATATCAAATCTAAGTGAGGAAAAAACCCCAATTTTTTTAATTTAAAAGAATAGCAATTTATAAAATGAGCAGACACCATTGGGCTACACTAGCACACAACAGGGACAAATGGAGACTGCTTGAGCAAATCAATGAGTAATGGGATGTCAAGTGATCAAGTGATCAAGTGGTAATAAGATTCCTCATAAGAACACAACAAAAATATTTTTAAATTTAAAAAAATTTTGAGTCCAGGGTCAGAGAGATAGTAGAACAGCTAAGGTGCTTATTTTGCATGCGGGTGACCAAAGGTTTGATCCCTAGCATCCCATATAGTCCCTTTAGCACTGCCAGGAGTAATTCCTGAGCACAGTGCCAGGAATAACCCCCGAGTTTCACTAGGTATGGTCCAAAATGAAACAAAACAAAACAAAATCCTGAATCTGCCTGAACAATAGTTTATACATTATTAATATTTTTAACCTGAGAAAAACACAAAAAGCATAATAACTGTATGAACACCAAAATCATGTGTTTTGGTGGAATGAAAATAGTATATTAATGAAAATAGTATATTAATTAAAAAATAACCTTTTCTTTTTTCTTCCTTTCACATTCTTCAGCTTTTTTTTTCTTTAGCCACTCTTGATATTTCTCTTTTGCTTTTTCTTGCAAATGTTCTTTCTTCAGTTCTTCTGCTGCTTTTTCCTCCATTTCTTTATTAATTTTTTGTTCCCTTTCTTTTCTTTCCTTAAATAAAAGCAGAGGAATTTTCATTAGAATACCTGAAAGCATTCTCATATGAAAAAGTTATTCTCATGCATCTTATTTTAAAAAATAAAGTAATATGCTAAACTGGTTATTTATCTATTTCTCTTAGTAAAGCAAAATAGTCTTATTAAAAGAAATTTACTTGGAGAAACATGAGAGGAAAGAGAGAAGCATTTATGTTCAAAATCAAGCATGGACTTCTCCAGAGTGGAAAAAGCCTAAACTAGTTATTTCTTAAAATAGGTGGTACCATGGGGTTTATATGAAAATGTTTAACATTGTTGTAATTGCATGGTCAATAATTGTCTACCAGCTGAGCTGTTAGTCTCACGACAGTAGTACAATGATCTGGCTTACCAAAGTCTAAATATAAACTGGAACAGTGCTGAATAAAGTGGTACTATTTACTTGTTCATTTGTTTATAACAAATAAAGATTTATTGACTAGTGAATTAAAATTCCAAGTCTCAGTCATTCTTAGAAAATATTTTTCCCTTCACTAAAATTTATAGCAATGTGTACTTCCTAAGGACAGATAATTTGCCATTATGAATACCTGGTTAAATCTTTACCATCAGTAAATTACTGAGGAATAAATGAACAACATTTGGGGGCAACTAATAATACCCTTATATGGGTAAGTACAGGCAAATTCTTACAAGTTTTACAAAAATCAGATGTTGGAAAATTGTAGACCTCAAGCTAAATATGTTCCTCTAACCACTTTTATCTGTAAATAAAGTTTTATTGAGGTATAAAAATACCATGTACATAATTTAATCTCTGCTTTCGCATACAGCAGAAAAGTCCAGTAGTGCCAACAGAACTTAAAGGCCTGGAAAGCCTGAAATATTTATCTGGCCCTTGTCAAAAATAAATTTGACAAAAATGAAATTTGATACTTTTTCTTTTCTAAATAAGACTACCAACACAAGACTACCTGTGTTACCCAAAATTAAATAGTAAAGTAAGTAAAGTAAGTAAAGGCCCTCCCGTTGTTCATCAATTTGCTCGAGCGGGCCCAGTAACGTCTCCATTGGAGACTTTGTTGTTACTGTGTCTGGCATATCGAATACGTCACGGGGAGCTTGCCAGGCTCTGCCGTGTGGGTGAGATACTCTCGGTAGCTTGCCGGGCTCTCCGAGAGGGGCGGAGGAATCGAACTCGGGTCGGCCATGTTGGCTGCGTGCAAGGCAAGCAGCCCTACTGCTGTGCTATCGCTCCAGCCCAAAATTAAATGACCAGTAAAATAGGTCGATCTAAGATCAAAGGTTTAAAATACAGTCTTCAAAGTGAAAAGCACAGACAATACAAATACCATATACATGATCTTAGATCAAAGAAACACAAGTCAAGAAAGACATTCTTCCTTGAAAGTATATTGTAGAGGGTTGGAGAGGTAGTACAGAAAGTAGAGAGTGGGGCTGGAGTGACAGCACAGCAGGTTGGGCATTTGCCTTGCACATGGCCGACTTGGGTTCGATTCCCAGCATCCCATATGGTCCCCTGGAGGGGGACTGCCAGGAGTAATTCCTGAGTGCAGGGCCAGGAGTAACCCTTGTGCATCGCCCGGTGTTACCCAAAAAGCAATACAATAAAATAAAATAAAATATCAAACTTCATTGGGCTGTAGCAATAGCACAGGAGGTAGGGCATTTGCCTTACACACAGTCAACATGGCTGACCCTAGTTCGATTCTTCTGCCCCTCTCGGAGAGCCCGGCAAACTACCGAGAGTATCTTGCCCGCACAGCAAAGCCTGGCAAACTCCCTGTGACGTATTCAATATGCCAAACACAGTAACAACTGTCACAATGGAGACGTTACTGGGCCCACTAGAGCAAATGGATGAAAATCGGGAGGACAGTGACAGTGATCAAATCACTTCATCACAATTTTAAACTTCTGTCTCTAATATGTACTAGGAAGAAAAGTCATTTTAAATGAGAGGAAGTAGTTGCAAAACAAACAAGTGACATTATGTAGCTCAATTACTTAAAGATGGCTTATAACACAATAAGGCAGAAACGCCTTCCACAAAATGGGCAAAAATCTAAAATGGATACCAAACAAAATAAGATGAAGAGAGGCAAAAACTGACAAAGTGGTAAAAACAGAACTGTGTTCTTCCCCAACTTCACGTGAAGCCCTGATGGAGAAAACTGTAAGAAAAGGATCTTTAAAGAAACGATTAAGTTTAAACGAGGTCTTAGGCATGGGGACTAATCTGACAGCACTGCCACCTTCCTAAGAGGAGAGATGGGCTTGAGAGCTGAGCAGAGGCTTTGGGAGGGTAAGTGAGATGCCACGGAGCCCAAGTCCTCAGAGAATCCCAGTCCTGACTCCCCTTCTTTTTGGACTGACAGCTTCCGATGACTTTCTGTTGTTTAAGCCACTCACTCTGCAATATTTTGTTCTGGCAGACCTAACAGACTAATACCATAAGCTTATGAAAAAAATACTAAATATCACTCGCTTCCAAAGGGAAAAGTTAACTAAAATAAGACAAAACAAAAGATACTGACAATGTAAAATTTGGTGAGATTTTTTTGTTTTGTTTTGTGCTTTCACACAGTAGCAGTGGGAGAAATATAAAATATACAACTTTTGCTAGCTTTTTGTTCTTTGTTTTATTTTGCTGTGGGGTTGGGGACCATGGGGTGCCAAAGACTTAGTAGGCAGGTGGCAGGTGGCACACAAGGCAAGCCCCTTAGCTCCTGTAATCCCTAGACTATTACTCTGGCCCTGTTTGTTTCACGTTTTGTTTTGTTTTGTGGTCACACCCATCAGTACTCAGGGGCAACTCGCAACAAAGTGCTGGAGTGGGGTTGGTGGGAGATACCAAGTGTCAGAGATCAAACCCAAGCCTCCTACATACACAGCACATGTGCTAGACCTTTGTTTGCACTATCTTCCCAGGCCCAAAACGCACACTTAAAATTAAAAGTTTGGCAATTTTTAACAAACTAAACCCATGTTTACCATACAGTCCAACACATCAGTTTCTGGGCATTTATCCAAGAAAGAAACCTGTATTTTATTAGTTACAGCGCTTTATTTATAATACTCCCCCAAACTGGCAGCAACTCAATCATCTGCCAACTAGTGAATAGATAAACAATCTGGTATTCCAAAGAATACAATACCACTTAGCAAACAAAAAGCTTAAGACAGATCTTCAGATCAATGGAGTAGAATTGAAAGTTCAGTGACAAACAATTGATTATTTTTTTTATTAGTCAATTAATCTTCGATAAAGGAGCAAAAAATATGAAGTAGAGCAAGGAAACCATCTTCAACAAGTGGTGCTGGGAAAACTGGTCAGCCACATGAAAAAAACTGAACACAGATCTCTTTCTAATGCCATGTATTAAAGTCAAATCAAAATGTAGGCCTCGATATTTGACCTGAATCCATCAGTACACAGAGGAACACAGAGGCTGAACTCTCCATGAGATTGATACTAGAGGCATCTTTAAGGACAAAATGCCACTGACCAAAGCAAGTGGAAGCAAAATAAACAAATTGGTACTACATTATATTAAGAAGCTCTGCAGCTCAGAGGAAACAATAACCAGACTATAAGGACAATGAAGATTTGGAAGTATTATTTGCCCACAAATCATCCAATTAGGAGTTGATATCCTAGTAGGTAAGACAGAGAAGGGACCTATGACAATAATAGTTGGAAATGATCATACTGGGTAAGAACTAAGTATTCAAAGTAGTTAAAGGGATATGCATGAAAACCTTTCAGTATCTACATTGCAAACCACAATGTCCAGAAGAGAGTGAGAGTGAGAGCAAGAGTGAGAGAGAGTGAGAGCAAGAGCGAGAGAGAGAGAGAAGAGGGAAATGGGATGGTGGGGACAATGGTGCTGGGAAATGTACACTGGTGGAGGGATGGGTGTTAGAATACTGTATGACTGAAACCTAATCATGAACAGCTCTGTAATGGGGTATCTCATGGTGATTCAATTTAAAAAATTCTGTTAAAAAAAGAGTTAAAGTTCTAGATACATAAAGCACTGGTTGCTCTTTACAAGAAAATAGTCCAACCTGATTAAAAAAAAAATGGGATGACAAGATGAACAGAAACTTCCTCTAAGAAGAAATACAAATGGCCAAAAGGCCTATGAAAAAAAATGCTCTATATCACAATGCATTTTGCCAAGACATCAAAAATCAGATGGGCTGGACACGTAATGAGGTTTACAGACAACCGCTGGACTAGAGCCATTACTGATTGGATTCCACGGGACATCAAAAGATCACGTGGACGCCCACCTATAAGATGGTCAGACTTCTTCGTCAAGACCCTAAATGATCAGTTTGAGGCTCTGCATGTTCCTAGAACGAACAGATACCATTGGGCTACGCTAGCACGCAACCGGGATGAATGGAGACGTTACTGGCACCCGCTCGAATAAATAGATGAATAACGGGGATTAAGTGATTAAGTGATAAGTGATCACAATGCAAATCAAAGCAACAAAGAAATATCACCTTATACCACAGAGACTGAAATTCATCAAAAGAATAACAACCTAACAATCAGCACTGGCAATGGATTCAAGGGAAAAGGTACCTTCATTCACTGTTGATGGGAATGTCCAGCCTTTTGCAAGGCAATATAGACATTCCTTAAAATACTCGGAACTCCATATGATTCAGCAATTAACTCCTGAAAATATATCCCAAGTTCCCAATAACACATGCAGAAAAGACATCTGCACTCCTATGGTCACTGCAGTGAAACAACCCACGTGCTCAAGAACAGATGACTAAATAAAGAAAATATGGGACATGTATACAGTGGAATACCACTCAACCCTAAGAAAAGATGAAGTCATGCAATTTGCTGATACATGGATGAATTTGGAGAGTATCATGCTCAGTGTAGTTAGTTAGTCATAAGAACAGGGACAGAAATAAAACGATCTCTTTCCTATTCAGGATAAAAAGAAACTTAGTGGGGAA